AGTGCATTTGTATTTGTAATGATCCGTTATATTATTTTTTTTTTTCAGTTTAATGATAAATAAATAAAAAAAAAAAAAAAAAACATTTTAAACGAAATTTATAAAACAAAATCTAAGGTTTTTGTTTTCATCAGAAGTTTGTATATCTACAGGTAAAAACCTTAATTAGTACAGGCATTCTTAGATGAAGAATACATTCTGACTAAAAGGTATCTCAATACTGTTTCACTTGTGGCGAATCTGTTGTCTTCCTCTTTTTAATCACATTTGTGTTTGTTTGTGGGAGGGAGTGGAGGGTCCTTGCAATATACTAAAATGGGAAGGGGGTGGGGGTGTCTTGCCATATACTCAAAGAGGCTTGGGGTCTCACCATACTCAAAGGGGCGTAGGGGTCTTACCATATACTCAAGGGGCGTGGGGGTCTTGCCATAAACTCAAAGGGGCGTGGGGGTCTTGCCATAAACTCAAAGCGATCTGGAAAAAAAAGGTTGAAGACCACTTCTCTCAAAGTCTCTATTCGAAATATCAGAGTCTTTTAGCACGCTAAACGAATTAACGCTTTTTACAGGTTTTCGAAAACAGTCTTACGACGAATCTGTGGGCCCATCAAAGATGCAAACAGTGGGGAATGGAGATGAGAAGCAACAACGAAATTCATAATCTGTTTAAATCACCATTGATCATTGGCGTCATGAGAGCAAATAGCTGCGGCATATTGAGAGAGTATTAGATGACAGAGAGGTAAAAACTGTATACACAAGGGAGATGATTGGTCGTAGACCAAGGAGACAATAGAGAGATAATGTCCAGAGAGACCTGCTAACATTTGATGTATTGTTACCAACTTGAAAGAAAAGGCCAACCAGGGAGATGAATGGAGCGGTTGTTATCTGCAGCAGTGAACCTCACTCACCTTGAGCAATAGTTAGCGCGTACTCGGGATCGTGACCACTGGGCGGTATCGTTTAAGAGACAAGTGACCACCGATTCCCGTCTGTAGCCGAAGCTAAGATGGACAGCCAGGGGAACGTCTTCACACTGACCACAAACAAATATACTGACAGTTTGCAGTCCTTATTGTCATACTAGCTTACCAAGATGTCTGTCAGTAGAATTAAAGCCAGTTGAAGTGTTAGTAATCAGTACGTCAATGTTCAGTAATGCATAATGATCATAATTGTGCAGTGTCACCGATCGGTTAGAGGGGAGGGACCGCCAGTCTCTTCTCGCAGTCACCACACAAGGCAGTTAAATCTTTTCAGTGTTTGGCACAAGTCAAGAAGTTAATTCACAGCCTTTGAAATTTATAACGTATGTAATTGGATCAAAACAGTGGACTTTTCGCGCCCTGGTTGTATTTATTTTAAGGTAATTTCGGCACGTATTTGGGCATAATAATTCTTCTTCTTCGGCATTCTGAGCCCTTGATGTTCATTGCTGCAGATATCACTCACCCGTCTCCATTCATCTCTCTTGTTGGCCTTCTCTTTCCAGTTGGTGACACCAAGTGTTTAATATTATTATTATTAATAATAATGAATATAGTCACTGAGACTACAACTATTCAGATATCTTGTTGAAAATGTTAAATACTGATAACCCATGCCTCTGGCTGTATTGACATTTTAATTTAACTTAATGCCTGTTTCTGTATGTTATTTTGTTCCAGAGTGATTTTAGCCTCTTGACAGTCCTTGCCTTAAAAAATTTACAGCACATAATGCCTCTAACCGTGTATCCACTTTTGTAAAAAGTAACGGACCCTTTTTCACTTCTTCAGGTATATTGAGCATGTAGGGCTAGACTTCTGTTTTATAGACCAGCCAGCACTGGGTGGAGGATGTCAGCCTCACACTGACTGCCTTTACTTCCCAGAACTGTACCTGGTACCCACTCAAGGCTGGGTCAACCTGAAAGCCAAGGTCATTAAAAAAAAAAGGCTCCATCAGGACCTGGACCCTTGACTTTGTGATCTGTAGGCAAGTGTCAGGCCGCTACACCAAGGCAGCTCTCCTCTGCTGTTGTGCTGTCTGGCACTTGATAACGCCAAAGTATTTCAGTTTTAAAGAAGCGATGCTGCCTCTGAACCAGTCCCTTGTGACATTATTCAGATTAGTAGAAATATAGAGACTTTCAGATGTGCCGTGACAAGAGTGACATTCTGTAAAAGACCTACCGACTTATGATGATGAGACCATTGTTATATCTTCAGTCTCAGAAGGTTACATCAGCCGCACCCTGACAAGACGCTAATGACACAATTACCGGTGAGTTCTTAGTGGAGGTTCCAACATCACCGCAGACAGGTGGCCACATAATTTCTCTGTTCCTTAGCCAGGGAAAAGCAAAACAGAAAATTTTTTTCACTCTGCCATTCAAAAAATTTTTTTAAAAACTTGTCAGTCCCAGAAAAATCTTATAGCTTGCACATCCGAATGAAAAATATTATAAGGCAGCTGTCTGATGTGCCAACACTAACAGTATCATACCAGAACTGCAGCTCACTGTGGCGCAAATGATTAATTATGAGAGCCAGCATTGTACCCACAGAAACAAAAGCTAATCTGAATGTAATTGGCCACCCACATTTTAGTGCAGTCAACAGCACCTTGCAGACACAACAGAAAGAATCATTCATATGAAATCCACTTCTCACAGTGTCACACCAAGCACTCAGCTCGGTAGCTGGTACACTGTCGCACGTATATTGCTGTAACTTTCTTGTGTCTTTTGCCCTTATGTCTGTTATGTGCCACTAGGCATCAGAGGTCAACAGATGATCTGAATCGGAGCTAGGGCATCATCCATTGTTGCCCGGTATGCTGTGATGTAGGAGCCTATAATGGAAATCACTGGTGTTGTCTATTTTCTTATACAGGTGTGAGAGTTGGGCTCTCACTGTAGAAATGGAAAGGAGGATTCAGGCTTTCAGATGTAAATGCTACAGACGCATTTTACAAATTAGTTATTTAGAACAGAAAACAAATAAATATGTCTGTGAGACAAAATATACAAATTTGCGGGATATCAGGAGCCTCTCTTGGCAGTGGAAAAACATCACAAGCTAGCTTGGTTCGGGCACGTGATGAGACATGATTTGATTGCAAAGACTGTACTTCAAGGAACATTGGGGGTAGTCTGAAGAAGAGGAGGGCAAAGAAGAACCTGAAATGACATAAAAAAAGGGACAGGACTAAGTTATCATACAATTATTCATCAAGCAGAAGACAGAGAAAGATAGCAGGTTTTATGTGCTAGTGCTTCCATCAATACACCTCCACGACCCTAATGGGTCAAGGGTTATGTTATTCTGTGATGTTGTGGAATCTAAAAGCATCAATGTTTCCTTCAGTCCATATCCTTCTTGATTGTCCTTTGCCTCTTTTTGTTTGTTTTATGTTGTATGTTTTCGTTGCCAAATCATTTTAGTTTTCTATTTTTTTTCAGTGAATTTAATTAAAGGGTTGTTCCAAAAGGTCTTGTAATTTCTTTACTTCTCACATGAACTCTTCTAGTTTTGTTCGGGGCTCTCTCAAACATCTCACTTCTCAGGTGGGTCAGTTTTCTTTCATATTCTTAAGTCAATGTCCAAGTCTGAAGTTTGGTTTGAAGAAAAAAATAGATTTCCTGCTCCCTCTCCAGCATGTTGACTTCTTTCTTCTTCTTCACGTTCACCAGCTGTACACTCTGGCGGAAAGTTCTGGTTGCTCGTCCACTACTGAACTGCAGTCCTGCTCCAGAACCTGAGTGTTGCGTGTGCATCAGTTTTACAGATCTCATTCTCTTGAATATAGACTGTTGGTTCCTTGCCTCTCCGGCAGATGCACTCCGACTTCAAAGGAAGCTCCCATTTTGGTCGACTCTTACGACATGCTTTTGGGGAGGCAGTGGTTCTATTCTTGTTTTCCCCAAAATGGGGCCCCGGAACCCACACGGGGGAGGCATGTTGACTAAAAAGGGGAATTTCTTGAGAAGTCTGAGTACATCTGTCTGAGATGCAAGAAACCAACAGTCTGCAGGCAACTAAGCTAGATCTGTAAAACAACTGTGCAGGCAGTGCTCAAATTCTGAAACAAAACTAAAAATCCAGAAGTGGATGAACAGGCAGAATTTTTCCCTGGAGAATACAACTAGTAAACACTAAACAAGAAGAGGATAAATAGAGGTAGATTTACTGAAAAATTGTAGTTCTCTTTCAGTTACAGTGATTTGTCAGGTACTGTGTTAACTGTTCTTTGTTTGCCTTTGGGACTTTGGCAAAGCGTGAAAGTATACCATTCATAATATGGCAACCATTAAAATATATGGTACCATAGACGCTTAATGATTTATTTCCACCATTTCCTATATGATTTATTTCACCATTACCTTTGTGAATTATTACAACGTTACCTTGTGATAAAGCCCCAACCCATAATTTTATAAGGAGACGAAGAGGCTCCAGTTTACCATTCATAGAAATTATCTTTAAAAGTATTTATCTATACATTCCATATTATTTCTTCTTCTTCTTAAAGTCCATGCTGTATGACGTTTGAAGTCATGTCTATCCACAACCAACTCAAGGACTTTAGACAATTCCCCCAACTATTTTTTTAAAAAATGTGTCAGGTGGTAAGGAGGGCCTAATTGGGGGGACTGAGACACCCCCCCCCCAACTCCAATGTTTTCTTCATGGTGGGGCGCCTGTATGAACATTTTACACATTCAATTAGAATAGGAAAGACATAAATTATGAATATACTATGTTGCGAACGAGCTACATAATGCTGGGTTTGATCCCAGCTGGGGGCCTTGCGTTGGTTTTGACAGTGGTATTAAGAAGTTGTCCGTCCAGAAAGCAGTGGCAAACTACTGGTCATAAATTTGCCTAGAAGAACCACAACTGCCAAAAAATGCTGGGGCTGGTTCTGCTATGTCTTGTAAAGGATACACAACTAACTAACTTTTGTAACTATGTTTATATTTTCTCCTAAAGTTATTCACACCAGTTGATCAGAATGGCCAGCACCGCTGAAGAGAGCCTCATGGCTTTACTTGAAGCCATGCTGACCTTGGCAGCAAGCGAAGTCATTCGGCCCAAGCCCCCATCGGTCAAACCTGGTGGTTACCCGGAGGAGCATTTCTTGGATCTCACTGAAGAAGAGAAAGATGAATTCTGCTGCAATATATGGTAAGTTAATATCCTGATTGCTGAACAGTTTCTTCTTCTTGCCTTTCATCGCATTCTGCGGCCGTAAACTCTGGTAGAAAGTTCTGTTTGTTGTTTTACTTCTGGACTTTAGTTGTTGTTTTTTTTCTCCAGAGCTTAAGCTTTGCTTTTAATGGTGGGGCTTATTTGTGTGCAGACTGTTGGTTCCTTGCCCTCTCAGGCAGATGCAGCCAGACTTTGAAGGAAACACCTCTGATTAGTCGACTTTTGCTCCCTGTGTGGGGTCCTGGGCCCCTTTGTGGGGATAACAAATATAAACCCACTGCCTCCCTAGCAAGCATGTCTTAAGAGTCAACTTACTGGCATTCCAGAAAAAAAAATCTTTAGAAAAAAAAAAAGAAATTTACGATTTATTGTAATATTTTAGCTGTATGATTGATTCCAGCATTAGGTCGACAATTTTGTCGAATATTACCTTTATGATTTATTCCAAAGTTAGCTAAAGTATTTATTCCAGCGTTAGCTGTACACTTTATTCCAAAATGTTTCCTCCATTAGCTCTATTATTTATTCCAACGTTAGCTCTACAGTTTATCCCATCATCATCTCTATGATTTATTCAAATATTACCTCTATGATTTATTCCAACATTATCTCTATGATTTATTCGAACATTATCTCTATGATTTATTCTAACATTATCTCTATGATTTATTCAGATATTACCTCTGATTTTTTTCCACCATTTCCTCTATTATTTATTCAGATATTACCTCTATGATTTATTCCAACATAATCTTTATGATTTATTTGAACATTATCTCTATGATTTATTTAGACATTACCTCTGTGATTGTTTCCTCTATGATTTATTCCAACACTACCTCAATGATTTATTCCAACTTTTCCTCTATGATTTATGCCAACACTACCTTTATGATTTATTCCAATATTACCTTTATAATTTATTCCACCATTACCTTTATGATTTGTTCCAACACCACCTCTGTGATTTATTCCAGCACTACCTCTATGATTTATTCCAACATTACCTCTATGATTAGTCCAACATTACCTCTTTTATTTATTCCAACATTACCTTTATAATTTATTCCAACACTACCTCTGTGATTTATTCCAACCTTACCTCTATGATTAGTCCAACATTACCTCTTTTATTTATTCCAACATTACCTTTATAATTTATTCCAACACTACCTCTGTGATTTATTCCAACACTACCTCTATGATTTATTCCAACACTACCACTATGATTTATTCCATTCCCTCTATGATTTATTCCAACATTTCCTCTATGACTTATTCCAGCTTTACCTCAGTGATTTATTCCAACACTATCTGTATGATTTATTCAAATATTACCTCTATGATTTATTCCAATATTACCGCTATCATTTATTCCAATGTTACCTCTATGATTTATTCCAATATTACCTCTATCATTTATTCCAATATTACCTCTATGATTCATTCCAATATTACCTCTATCATTTATTCCAATATTACCTCTATCATTTATTCCTTCCAGTTACCAGGTGCTGAAGGAGACCAGGCAGTGCATGAACAAGCACAAGTTCTGCAGCTCCTGTCTGCTGGTGTGGTCTACAACTGGTCAGTATAATAACCGAGATGGCTGTCCAGTGTGTCGTACCCGTGGGGACTATTTACGCAACCTGGAAGTTGATGACCGCATTAGTGCTAAAAAGGTCAAGTGTTTGCTGGAGTCCTGCAAATGGTCGGGACTTCTGAAGCATCTCTGCTCACACCGCCACACAACATACGGCGACAGCAGCTCATCGGAGAGTGAAGACACTGGTGTGTCTGAGGTAATGCCACGGCTGATTCAGGTAACCCCTCATGTTCCCCACAGGGGTCAGGGTCGCTTCATCGGCACAGGTCTGACAATCCAGAACCCATCTCCGTCTGCTGGACCACCACCAGCAAGTTCTAGCAGAATGTCACTTCTGAGCAGTCGCTCCGTGTCTAGAGCCAGCCCGAGTCCTTTCAGCAGCACAAGTGAGGAGACTGTGACAGAACTTCCTTGGAGGTCTGGACCCAGCACCAGGAGATTTTCTACATTCAGAACTCCGGGTATACAAGCCCCTACCAACAATCGAATCTACTTCAGCCACACAAGACCCAGCACTGACAACAACAACAATTTAGATGATGAGGCTTCTGTAGTGAGGTCATCCACCTCCACAGTGGATGATTCCTTGGAGATGGCTGCAAACTCCATGTCCGGAGGCCTTACACCTCGTCCTCCTTCAACACCTAGGACATCTTCAAATGTTGTCAATGCACGGCGCCTTCCAAGAATCGTCAATCCACCACCAGCTCGTGCACAAGGCCACAGGTACCAACCACCAAGTGTTTTGGCCTTACATTTTGCATCTGGTGGACGACCAAGAGCAGCAGAGAATCTGGGAGAAATTCGTGATCGTCTTCATGAAAGTCGCACTAGGCTCGACAATCTGATGACTTCCTTCTCGGGGGAATTAGATCGTAACCGCCAAGCAATGGCAGAGTTTCAACTTGAGCGTGAACGTCACAGGCAGGAGCAGTTGGAAGAGGTCAGAGAACTGGGTCAAAGGCTAGGCCAGGTGGCATCAGAGCTTAGGCGTCTCCTTGAACAGCGGCGTCACATTCACAGTTTCAGTGATGATGACGATGATTTTGACTAGCACAGAAGCATTTCAGCTTCCTTCTGCTGTAGTGATGCCCAGTGTGGGACATTCCTTGGGAAATTGACACAAGAACCCCCCGCTGCATGAACTACAAAGTATTCCCAGCCAATTTTTGATAAGTTTGCCAGTATTCTATTAACACTGTGATATTGTTTTTTTTTTTGTGTGCTGCCTTACATAATGTGTGTTTGTATGTTTTGTGTTTTTCTTTTGGTCTGATGAAAATAACAGTAACAACTGTTGTGCTTTCAACACCTGTGACCAAACACATAGGAGGTGTACCACAAAGAAAATGCTTTCTTTAGCGGACCATGTGCCATTATTTAGTATTTATTCTTACTAGTAATATTTAAACAAATTTGTTTGAAGTAGCTCTTTTTATTTTGCTCCTCATATGTTTAATTTCTACAATATACAGTTAATTAAACTAAATTCTGTTCTAAAAAAAAATTCACTTCCCCTTTTTTTTTTAATTTAAACATTTTGTTTTTATTTTTGTTTAATTTCCTAACCCTGTCACCCTGGCAACATTAAAATAAAAGCTCATCGCCCCATGGGAATTCCTGGAAAAATTCATTTGAAAATCTTGTTTGTTGTTTACACAGGTCACTAATAAATTGGTAGACATGTATTTAAATTTGTATATGTTTTCCCTCAGAATTCATACAGATATCTGAAGGAAGTTATCAGTAAACACAAACAGAAGGAAGCATTAAATGGAATACATTCCCTGGCTCCTAAGAAACTGATATGTATTGTGGGACCCACACTATGATCACCATCACTGGGACTGATGGGAAAGTTTCAGTCTTCATAGCTTTTAAAAGCTGTTAGGTTCACAGGAAAACTGGCAAATTCTGTTTTTAGCTAATATATGAATGTTATCCTGATCTCCTAAACATTTGCGCTGGCATGAACTCGGCCATCAGCATTAATGGTGCGTCTCATAAACACTTCACTGTAGGCAAGTCTAAACAAGTGACATTTACAGGAATTGGATCCAACCTGAAATGTCGGTTTTGTGGCTACCTCCAGGTGACAGGGTTTAATTCATATTTAAATTGCAGAAAATGAAAATATCTATTTTGATTTGCTAATTTTAGTTAATTTCAAATGATTATTTTGTTGTTGGGGTAGGGAAAAACAAAGTTGTCCAATTTGTTTTTGCTTTTGTAACATGTTGTATCCATTCTTGTGACTTTCAGACAGGGGTACGAGAGTTGTGGAAGAGGTTGGGTCCTCACCACAAAATACAGTAAAAATTTTGATTAACGGTCACCGTCTCGGCCAGGGCTATGATGGATAACCCAATAGACGGATAACAGAAATCTCTTAATACATATTTACAGTAACATGATTTCACTTCGGGCTTGGGATGAAAATGAAAATAAAATTTCTTGTAAGTGAATAATACATATGTATTCTATTTAATTTTGCAAACAAAATATACTTCAATATGAGTAGTAATGTACAGAAATGTCATGTAATATTAACAGAAACTGACTGTTAAACCAGTGATGGTTAATCAAAGTTTTACTGCATTCCCAAAGAGGACAGAGGTCGCATATAACTACTGCAGCCTGCTTCTGTTGTTTGGGGTCTCCATGGAAGTGGTCAAGCCATTTGCCCTGCACTTTGAAGGTTGTGGGTTCATTTCACGGCTACACCCTTCAGTTCACAAGTGCACACGGTTTTTTTTAGTTGTTGTATCAGAAATAAGGAAGTTAAAATATAGATCCCTGTGCCATATCTGTGGATGGCTGGGACAAATGGTTCGGTAACCAGGGACAAGCAAAGTGTATGAGCATTCACTGGGAGCACAGAGGGAAAAACCATAAAGGAGATGATTGGTACCTTTACTGTTACAACCAGCAGCCTCACAATGCATCCTTATGGCCTGCGTGCCCATTTGTGACCCTTTAAAAATAAAGTTTGGTGGTTTGTTCATTCATCAGCGACTAGCTCATTGGATGCCTGGTAGATGACTTCATCGCCGGTCGGGTCAGTATTTGGGTCTGTCTCCTCTGATCGCATCAACACTGCAGGAGTCCTTTTTAGGTGGCGAGCAGTGTTAAGCCATTTTATATAGCGCAAATAACCTAGTCACTATTATAACTAAAGCTCCCCCTTCGGGAATGCTAGTTGATAGTGGCGTTTTTAAAAAAATGCAAAACGAGGCGAGGCAAGGGTCCACAATGGACACCATAGCTGCAGCAAGGGCATTGACATGGCTGGTTACTCAAGAATTGACATGCATGTGTACTGAGTGACAGTGAATTTGCTCAAGAAAGTCTAGGATGGCTTCGTCAGACAGGAATGGATGCTTTCATTAAATACATCATGAATAAATCGCTTAATGTCTGGCTGACACTTACAAGTGATGGACAAGTGCAGTGATAGTGGTTTGTGAAACAGGCGTCACGGAATTATGGGCAAAACAAACGAGACAATCCTCCATGAGACACATGAAAGTCATAAACTGTTTAGAAATATTAGACAAGACATTTTTTCATATGTACTCGATCCTCGTGTGGGTTCTGGGGCCCTGTAATAGGGAAAATAAGAATAGACCTACTGCCGACCTACTGTCGTAAGAGTCGACTAATTGGGGCCTTCCTTCAAAATCATAGTGCATCTGCCTGAGAGGCAAGGAACCAGCAGTCTGCATACAAATGAGTCAGATCTGTGAGACGGATGCACGCATAACACTCAGGTTCTGGAACAGGACTGCAGTCCAGAAGTGGACGAACAACCAGAACTTTCCGCCAGAGTTTACAGCTGGTGAACAAGAAGAGGAAGATATGTACTCGAGAATAAACTTGGTAACAACAGGTAAGATTGATGGAAAGAGAGCAAGGGGAAGGCAAAAAGATAAATACATGGATCTTTTTCTTTCTTCTCTACTCCTGGAATGCCTCACAGCATCAGGGCAGGAAGAGATCTCTGGAAAGAGCCCTTCAGTTTGCTTTGTAGAAAGTACTTTTCAGTGTCTCTGATATTTCTGCAGTCGATATTCTGCATAGTCAACCTCTGGATCTGTTACCTATCTGTTATCTGTATAACATTCCAGTCTGTGGTGCCCTGTCTGATGCCAATACATGGATGACTTAGCCATGTGGTTGAGGCAAGACATGAACATTGGCCTGATCTGTGATTGCAAAACATGACAGCCTATGCTTTTTGGCACCGTACATGATGATGATGATGATGATGATGATGATGAGAACAGCTGTAGTAGATGTCAGCAGTTGTAAGAATCTACCAACTGACAGATGCAAATGGTTTTGGTGCACATTGTGTTATCATTGTGTTAGTGTCATTCCTGACCGGTACCATCAGTATTGAAACTTTGCGCTGGCTGCTGAAGATGAGGACGGAGCACACATGGGAATGCCCCCAATGCTGTGATGTCAATTCTTAACTCAACTCAACTCAACTAGTGCCATTCCTGGTGTATTCAGTACTGAGTTGTTTTTTTTTAAAATGTTTTTTCCCAACTTGGATTTAAGCCTTTAGCTGATAAAATTATAGCTGTTGTCTTTTTTAAATTTCATTTATTTGACTACCATTGTTAATTGTTTAAACTGGTTTTTCTCAACATTTATAAAACTTTATGAAGGAAGTTATCATTAAATACAGAGGAAAGCATTAAATTGAATACATTCCTCGGGTCCTTAAAAAAAAAAGATATATACTGGTGACCCACAGTGTGACACTATCACTCAGGCTTAAATGCAGTTTATTCAATAATTAGTTTTTGAATTACGTTTTTCTAACTTGGATTTCAGCCATTAGCTGATAAAATTAGATGTTTTTTTTAAATTTCATTCATTTGACTACCGTTGTTAATTCAGTTGAAGATTACAGAATTTTTTGTTCTAACCTTTATCTTATTTCAGCACAGTTATCATACTGTGGCTTGTTTGATTACATAAACATAAGATTTTACCAGTTTGCTTGTCACATGTGATCTTAGTGTCAATTTCAGATTTAGTAAGTTCTAGCGTGGGTTCTGAGGCCCCATTGTAGAGGAAAGAATAGAACAGACATGCTAACTCCTTTCCTAACCAGCAGGTCGAACAAGTAATCTAATGAGGGATTTCCTTCAAATCTGAAGTGGATCCCCCTGAGAGGCAAGAAACGAGTATATGCATGCAAAACTCAAGTTCTGGAAAAAGACTAAAGTCCAGAAGTGGACAAACAGCCAGAACTTTCCACCGGAGTTTATAGCCAGTGAACGCACAGAAGTTTAGTCTGTTTCTTTCAGTGTTGTAATAATATAATGTTTTGTTGCTTGTTTTCATGTCACATTAATTTATTGCAGCATAGAACAAAACTTGTTACATGTTGCTGTTATTTCAGCATCAATCTCAGCTGCACCTGATGACCATACTATTGCATAAAATATTTCTTTCTGTAACAATTACAGTGAAATAAACTAAACGTTTCAGTAAATTCTTATCCTCTTTGAAGAATTGGTCACTTACTGAAATGGGCTCAGCGTGTAGCTAACTGAATCACTGCAGGGGTATTCATTATAAAAAAATTTGTCAATTATTCTGGGAAAGATTAAGACCTAAAACAGCTTGTCCTGAGTGCAACGGCAATAATGTTTATGAATAGACTAAAATTCTGTAATATAATTATGGCAGACATAGTTTCTCACATAAATTGCTTTGTATGCAACATTCAGAATCCATTTCTGGCATCAGGATGGAGATAACAATTCCTGGCATAGTAGATGCCAGCTGGCATAGGCATTCATGCATCTCCACAGATCTCAGCCTTTGGTACTCTAGATCCAATCTTCTGATGATATTCCTCCATGCCACTGTCTTAAGCCTCACAATATTTTCCAGTGTTCTGTTTCTCATCACATGACCAAAGAACTTTGTCTCCTTCTCATTGTTGTACTTCTCATGTTCTACTTTAGTCAGAATGCTGATTGATAAGAATGCAGACACAGATGATGCTGTGGTTTACACAGATTGATGAGT